CTCCATCTCCTCCATCCCAGTGCCATGTCACTCCATCTCCTCCATCCCAGTGCCATGTCACTCCATCCCTTCTGACGTGGCAGGTGGTTGTGCTCTGGTTGCTGTGTGCAGCTGCTGTGGGCTTGATGGACCATTACATTCCTGCAGCCTGGCTCCCTGGAGGCACTTCCAAAATAGCAAGCAAGTAGAGGGGAAAAAAAAAATCCTAACCTGATTATGATAGAATAAAGGACATAAAAGTGATCTATTGCTTTGTGTGTTTTTCATATCATGTGCTCATGACACTGTTTTTCCATGTGCTAAAAATATGTTCTATAACTGCAGAATAGGTCCCAAGCTTCCCATGGCCAGAGTGATGGATGCGCCTCGTCCTGAAGAGCTCAGGCTGCCTTTGGTTTCTCTCCTCAGATATCCTGTCTGGTCTCCCATGTTGAAAAGTATCTCATTCTTGGCATTAAAACCCGAAGGTTTCCCGTAAAAGGAAGCAGCCCCCTCAGACAGACTGCCAAGAGGAGAAGTTGTGTGGCCACCAGTAGCACTAGGGCTGGATGTCGTGAAGGAGGGAAGGGAGAAGATGGTGGTGTGAAAATTTTGCGTTTGAGCGAGAGAAACCGAAGCCTTGGGGCAACAGGGGCTTTTCACAACTTCAAAAATAGCTCCTGCCCATGGCCACCCAGCCACTGTGTCTGGGCTGAAGCCCCTGGATGCTTCCCCCAGTTCCCAAAGCACTTCCCTACCTGCCCAAGAGCTACTGCCCTCATCTTCCTGATGAACATCTACCCCCTTTCTAGGGAAGCCTCATTTCTCAGACCTGGGAAGGCTTTCACCCACTAACCACGCTTTTGAAATACAAAGAAAGTTCTCCTTCGTATGAAGTTTCAGTCTGTCACCATCCCTGGTGTTCCATCCACCCCTCCTTGCTCTCCAGTGTTTCCCCCCCCCCACCTCCAGCAGCTGCACCTCTGTCCCAGGAGCGCTGGGGAACCGGGAGGTGGCACAGCCGGGTGGACTGTCTGGGAGCAAAGCTGGTTGCCAGAGCCACAGGCAGCAGGCTCTGCTCACTAAGGGGCAGCTGACAGAGAGTTTTGGGAAAGCAACTTCAAACCTTCATTGTGGAGAGGAGGATGCTGGCTGACACTTAACAGAATGGAAAGATGGGATGTCCCTGCGGGCTCCACCAGCTGTCCCAGCCCAGCAGCCCCAGTCCCCATCAGCAGCCCTGAATGGAACAGCACCATCCATTCACACAGCACTGGGGCTGGAGGGAAGGGATGGGCACTGCTGGTCACTCATTCATGAAGCACAACACGGGCTGAGGCTGCCTGTGTGGTACTGGGGTGCCTGCTGGAACAGGAACAGGATGTTTTTTTAGGAAACACTTTTCCATGAAGGGTTCCTGGCTCCGGCCCGAAGTGAGCTCCCCGTGCTGGCTGTGCTGCATCACTCTGGGGCCACTGCCCTGAGAAATAGGAAGGCAAATCCTAAAGCTGTGCCTGCCACTTAAGGGCAAGGATCTTATTTTCCTCATGAAAGCCACACTGCTTTATAAATCCATGTGAATTTTGCCTGAGTGTGGAATTGGAACAAAGCCCCGTACCTGTGAGTGTCTAACATGCTAAGGTGCTCCTCTGCCTTGTGCTTCAGACAGGGATTGTTCCCAAAAGATTCACAGTGTTATCCCAAAGGAACTGCAGGTGCCAGGGTGCTGTTCATCAGTGCATCCCACTTAAAACATCCAACAAACCACTTCAGTGGGTCCTTGGGAAGCGACTAAGATGCCTTTTGATTTTTGCCCTGGGGGATTAGCAGGTATTTGGGGCTGAAAGGGTGAAATCTGTTCCCTCATCTCCCCAGGGCACCTTCCTGGCTACCTGGGCAGAAAAGGCAAGCCCAGCAGAGAAATCCGGTGCCATGAGGCATCCTGGGGGTGAGTTTGCTGGGTGTTCCTGCCCAGAAGGAGCTCTGGCTCCAGCGTTTTGCACACTGGAAGCTGAGCTGTGGCCCTGGAGCTCTGCTGCGTGGGCACTGCTATTTGAATTCAAGGCAAGGACTGCTCTGGTGTGACTCTGTAGACAGCAATGAGGTCTGCAGGCAGCCTGAGGTGGCATTACCTCAACCTTGACATAAGTGGGATTTGAGCTTTTTTAGCTATTTATTTTAATAGTCAAGAAGAATTGCAAATAGTGCCACATCAGGGGTTTGCTGAGGCTGGGGCTGTATGGGCTTTCTGGGCATTGTTCTTTCTGAAGCAGCCACCAAGAGGCTGCAGGGAAGGTCCCAGTGTGAGCCCTGCTGGGAGAGGTCCTGCTGCAGACTCCTGCCCCTTCAGCATCAGAGATTTCCTTGGGGAGAGCTCAAATCTGACAGCAACAACTGAGAGCTGGTGAGGTCTACTAGGTCACTCTCATGGTGTTCTGCTTCTATGGGAAGTGAATGGATGGAAGCTTTATGGAGACATGGGAATGCACATCAACAAAAGGCCCCTCCAGTTCTGGTGATAACCATTTAAACAAGGGACATACACAAAGGAGGACAACTGTTGATGCTGTCTTCAAGCCAGCTACAAGGTGGTGGAGCCCCTGTTCCGGTGTCTACACCAGTTTGATCCCAAACACACCCATTTCCCATTACCTCATCCTTGCAGCAAGGCAGGTTTTGTCATCAGTGTGTTTTGGGAGCTGATGGGGCTTTGCTTGTTGGCACCACAGCCCAGGGCTCTCCTGGCAGCTTCCAAGGTGCTTTTCAGAAAACATCTCTGGAATGATGTGTGCAAAAACCACGTTCACCAACCGTGAGGTTCCCACACCTTCAACATGCAGGTGGTGCCTTTAACATGTGTCTAGAAGGGACAGGGATATGCTCTGGGCAGGAAGATCTGGCTTTATAAAGCAGGTATCTACAGCTCCCACGGGCCAGGTAGGAGATACCTGCTCAAGCATCACTCCCAAAGCCAGCAATCCCCTCCATCTGTGCTGCACAAGGCAGGGATGAGGTGGATGCTGGAGTCAGTGTCTAAGTGGTGCTTCCTCCCCATGCTGCCACCCTCCTGCCCACGGATGGATGATGAGTATCCTGAATCCCCCCCTGCTCTGTGTGCTGCCTCCCAAGGCCCCGTGGTGTGGAGGAAGTAAAGCTGATGGACTGCACGTGTGTGAGCATCTCAGCACCACCAAGTCAGAAAAGCCCTTTTCCCAACAATTCCTTGCCTGAAAGGAAGTGTTTGTAGGGATGAAAGAGTCACAAGGGCATTATTAGAGTAGGGGCTCTCACCTTGCAAGGCAAAGGCACCAGGCCAGGGGGCTCTCAGGCAGGGCTTGAAAATTCAGCCACTTGATGACAGATCCAGGAGTTTGCCATGCCTGTGACTGATGGTGCTGGGAAAAGCTGTGCCTTCTGGCAAAGGTTAATCAAAAGGTATTCTGCTTCAAGTGTTTGCTATAATTGATAAAGCATGCCTAATGAATGTCAGCAAACACTCAAACGTGCAGCGAGCTGGCAAGCCTGATCATGGGGCTGATTGTGTTCTCTGCAGTAGCAGGGAGTGATGCACATAAAAAAGTTGGGAATGCTTTGCAATGACTGGAACAGCTGTATTAGGAGTTTTCCTTCTTACTGTATTGCCTTTAAATCCTGCTTTATCTGCAAAGCACTTCCTACAGGGCCAGTGGGTAAAGAAAGGAGGAGAGTTTTGGTTAGTAACATTTATTTGGATGCAATGACAGAGTCCATGGCATATTTGTTTCCCAGAAAACAGGCAGATCTGCTCTTTGTCTTTCCCCTAAATGAAGCTGTAAATGAGTGAGTCCATAGCTGGGATTTCTGCTCCTCTTAGGGAACTGTACCACACTGAGATACTCTGTTTTGCCTCATTTTCTCCCAAGAGTTTATCTGCAGTCCAGTGGGTATCTCAGGCTCCAGCCTCATTTCATCCCCTCCTAGCTCAGGTGTGTTTTCTAAACGCTGAGTTTCACCTCGTCTATCAAAATGGGAATTCTTTGTAACATCTCCTTGAAGACACCTGAAATAATTTGGTGGCTTGGCTGTTTTCACACCAGCTCAGAGATAAACTGAGGGAAAACTGAGCAGCCTGAATTCTGCATGGCCACTCCAGAAATCTTCCTGATCCTTCTCAGCATTAAAAATCATTGACAGTTCATAGTCTTATTGCAGGACTTCAGGTCTCATGAGAGATACATCCTCACAGGCAGGTTGCTTGAGCCTTGTTGCCCCCAGCCTGCTCCTGTGGTCCCTGGCAAGTGCTGGTGCCAGTTCCACTGCTCCAAATGTGGGTGTATTGATTTATCACCAGCAATCAGTCCAAGCCCCCGGGGACATGACAAACAGCTACACAAACCTGTCAGAGAAAGATGCTGTGTTAGCCCTCTAAGGGAAATGAAGGAAAACCAACAGAATCCCACCCCAGCCTAAATTTCCCCCTCCCTTAGGGGGTCACCTGTTGGTGAGGCTTCCAGGTGGGTTGAGAAAAAGTCTGGGGAGTGGTTTTCTAGAGTCCAACCCGACCGAGGGGAGCACGAACGGGGTTATTTCCCTGGGTAAAGCCGGAATCCCGGGGGGAAGAAGGATCCCTGAATGTCCCGCGGGCACATCCCGCCTGGCACCGCATCCTCCCAGCCCCGTGCGACCGGGAGGGGCTCGAAAAACAGCCTGAAATGCAGGTTTTAGCACAGCTAGAAAGGCAAAACCCTGCGAGGACGGGCCCGGGGGCTTCACCCAGCCCCTCTCCCCCCCCCGCAGCACCCCGGCAAGGAAAAGGGGGGGCATTGCTGACCGCGAAGGCAAGAAGAAACCCCCAGACCTGTTGCCATCACAGCACGTTTTTTACTCGGGCAGCCCCGAGGGTGGGGACGGGCGGGGGGTCCTTGGGGGGGGACACACACACACACACCGCACAACACCGGCCACCCCCGCAAGGTCTC